GGTGTGCAAGTCGGTAAAAGGAAAAGGATCCAGGGAGAATAAAAATATTGCTAATAGTTTAACAAATCTGGGAGAAATTCTTACAGACATTTAAATGGAAACAGTTTGATGCATCTGGCTCCTGAATTATGACACAACAGAACCACGTTCACCTTAAGATGAAATAAAAATAAATAAAAAAAACCTCTCTGAATCATGTCTCTTGTATTTCCATGATAATACTCATATTCCCCTTCTTGCAAAAGGAAAAAAACATGTTCACTTAACAACAAGGACATTTCTCCTGGTTCCTTATGGGTCTTCTCTGAAATAATTCTACAATTCAAAGCTTTTTGTCTGTTTACCACTTAAAACACAACTAAAGCTATTATTGACTATTAGGGTTTATATATTTCACGTGACCAAACTGTAGTTTTGTGAAGCATTATTCCAATAACAGTGTCAAAAGCAAAGTAAAACTGTAATATAAAGTATTTCAGATTAAATTAAAACTTATTGTACATGGTTTGCATTAGGATTGTAGTTCTTGATAAACGTGCTTAAAATAAAGTTGCATACTCTTTGCTTTCAAATGGATAAAACATTTGTTTATAAATTTAATTTCATTTACAGAAGTCAGACTAACGCAGCAAAGCGTTAATCTGACTTCTTAATCTTAAATATTCCAAAAATGTATTTCATAATGTTCCCACAAATAGAAAGTCTTGATCCTGTCCTGTTCTCACAGGTTTCCCTTTTAAATGATTCAGTATGTGATACAGGCTTGTCTTTTTGGAGTCGCTTTAAGCTCTCTGCTGCCGAGAAAGAGGTCTGGGATTTGCCGACATCCAACCAGACCAACTGGAGGCAAAGGCAGTCCCGTTTGGGTCAGTCAGCATGGTTCAGCCTCTGCTAAAAGAAAAGGGATCCCATCCAGCAGACTTCAGGTGATTCAGAAGAATGATAAGACCTGGAAAGCAAAAATAATACAAACAAAAACAGTTAAGAGCAATGAGACGCATTAAGACAAAGAAGGAAAAAAAGTCAAACTGTATGTTAAACATAAGCATAATAAGTCCGGTGGCTTATTGGGTATTTTGCACAGACTTAAGCACAGCCTTATTTAAATAAAAAGGGGTAAACATTAAACACCAAATACTAAGTAGAGGGAATCTTTTGATTATTCTGTTCACTCTAAATGTTTATCCTTTGTTTAATCTTCGCTATATGTCGACATGTTTTAAGCATTTCAATTTGATATTTAGCCAAAAAGGAAAAAAAGAAAAGAAAAAAAAAACATTGTGAAATCCATAATTTATCCAGTCAAAAATACTCTATATTCAGCTCCTAGAAAAAGAACATTACCATACTGTAGTTCACTATCTCGATAAGTGGTGTTAATCCTAAATAATGAAGGACCGATGACTGAGCCATGGGGATCGCCTAACTGTTTTCTGACTCAATTTAAAAATGTGATCTTCACTGTAGTCTGGGATACTTTGACTACTTTAACTTGCCTTTTTAAAATTCCTCACATGCATTACAGATGCTTCTAAAAACATATCATTTCAAACAAGTTTAATTTATACACAAAAATCCTTTACTTTGACCTCAGATAATGTACATTTTTGGTGTTATTTTTATTAACTCTTTAAAGGGCACTCACTTTAAAACATTAATGTTGATATAGGTTCTAATTCATTAAGTTTTTTATTTAACTGAACTTTTTTTTTTTTTTTTTTTTTTTTTTTTTTACTTAATTTAGATTTGGTAACATAGCATCAACCTCACATTTAATTGGTCAAATGCTAAAATAATATGCACTGTCATGTAGTAGTATCTTTGCTGAAAGCTTCCAGACTTCAGGGGGTTGATGCTGGGGCATTAAGCTCGATTTGTAAGGGGTGTGCAAGTAATTTGCCCTATAATGGTTTATTGATATATATTTAAAAACATAAAATATTAGTGTATATTGTTATGTGTTTTCAGGGTTAAGTTCTTTATTTCTTATTTATTATTATGGGTTTGCCACAGTCATCTTGGTTTGGGTAAATACAGGGTTTTTTTAAAAGGTGGATTTGACTGACTAGGAAAGCCTGATATTATTTTCTGGTTACCTCGGTTACCATGTTACAGGTAGTTTAATCTCTGAATCATGTCTCCCACTGATGTTCTAACTTGTTTCTCTTGAGGCTTTGCAGCATTCAATGCAGGTCAATGCAGGGCCAGCAGGTTCTGAAACAGCTTTTTCCCCACCGCCATTTAACTGTTGAACTCTAAACTGCATTCTGCGTCACACTTGCATCATTATTTTGCACTACCAACATGCTGAACTATTATAATCATTCTAAATAGGACATATCTCAATGTTCTACTGCATTTTGTACCATATGTATTTTGCACTGCACTGAAACTTTTCATATTAATGCCCTTTTGCACTATTATTTAAACTATTTTCTTTTTTCTCCTACATTGTTACATTCTGATCACTGCTGCACTTTACATTGCTAATGTTTAACCTACTCCCACTACAATCTCGTTACACTCTTTTAAGCCGCATGCAAAGAAATTTAGTTTTTGTATACATTCAGTGCATACAAAATAACAATAAAGTTTATCTAAGTCTAGAGCCTAACTTGCTTCTAAGGATTTTCTCAGTGATGTTAAACAGATCCTTTTCAGTGAATAATTCAGTATTTGATGATGCATTGTTTAAACTTTCAGCAAAAAAAAGATTTTTGCCGATGTGCTTATAATTATATGATCTATAAGATAATAAATATGTGATTCTTTTAAAAGATTCACTTTGTAGGATGTTAGCTGGGAGCTAAATTAAGGAGTTGAGTTTGATACCAGGCAGCTTAAAAAATTTCATTCAATTGTTTTTGTCCTGCATGTGTCTCTTTTGTCCTGAGCCTCCTTTCATGCAGCAGTGAGAATCTGATCCTTTTTCCCTAAATGTCGAGAAAATCTGTGATTTTTATTCAAAAAGAAAATCTGTCAGCTCAAAATGTTAGCAACACAATGAACTAATTAACTACAGCGAAGCATTTAGTAACGATCATTTAACTTTTCACTCATAAAAATGACTTTTTGTTATCCGTCCATCCTAACAAAGAAAAATGACCTTGTCTGATTCAGATAAAAAGATTTAAATTACTTGGTTTCATGATGCTTTACTTGTTTGAAAATACAGTGTATTTTTATTAACAGTGTTTTTTTCTCTAGAAGTGAGTAATACGATACAATCAAAGCAGTTTGGCTGTGAAACATGTTGTTGCCAAACATGTAATTTAAAAAGGAGTTAAATTGTGTTTCCATGCATTTGAATAATTTTTTTGTGTGGGAGAATATTTCCCCCTTGGGAGGAATGGAAAAGTTTCTGAAACAGCAGAATCTGTGGGAAAACATTTGTTTCTCATAATGAATTTATCCTGGAAACCCAGAGTTAAATTATGAAATGCCAACAGCTTATTATGAGCTTTTTAAATCTCTAAGTTATGTTACTTTGTCTGTTTAGAGAAAGAAAACGATGAAAACCAGAGCATAAATAAAACCACGTATTTAAAAGAGAGGCAGATGCAAGTCAAGGGTGATACAGAAGTGAATGATTCAGTTAGCAAAGCTAAATGATGAAGATGGTGAGGATTTTTCCATTTTGCAGAAACATCTCTAAAGGTTGCATTAAATCTATCTGGTCTTCAGGGCTTTTTCTCTGCCAAACATTGTCTTTAAAGTGCAGTTATTTGCTGTTTTCGCAAGTCTTTACCTTGATCATTTCCAGAGAGCAACATTTTTAACTTAGGGTTTTTGAAAATGATTTCCAGAGTTCTGTTCTTCACGGGGATCAATGCAGTGTTTTTCAAACATTAACAAAAACACAAAATCTCAGACTGTGATTCATTAATTTATCCCTTAGCAAAAAGTAGTTTATTCAAGTATACTAAAAGTGCTCTAATTTCATACATAAAATCAGGCAGTGTACTTAGAGTTTACTTATTCTAAACTATATTTCATATACTTAACAATAGTATAGTCAAGTGCACTTGACTATACTATTGTTTACTTTATTGTTTACTTAAGTATACTTTAGTAAACTTAACAATGTACCAATTTAGTTGAAAGAAGTATTACTTTAGTAATACTTCAAGTACACTCAAGGTACATTGTTCGATACTTTCTAAACTAATACTTAAGTATTCTTAATAGAATTTACTTCAAGTATACTACTTTTTGCTAAGCTCAAACTGAGTCAGACTATATTTATAATGACACCCCTTTTTCAAGGACATGTTAATTTTAAACTTAAGTGTGTCTCAAGCTCATCTTTTACTGAGTGCTTAACCCATAAAAAAATAACTATGTTATTACAGGAACCAAATGTTTCTATGAAATTGATGCAACTTAAGTATTAAAATCGACACAGAGATCCATTTCTCTTAGAGTATTTTCTCACCATGTTATTTTTGTTTGGTCTGAATCCGTTTATGAGTTTGTTAACTTGAATTAGTGACAGAGAAGATAAGAATGCAGAAGGCCATGTAAGGTAGGGTCGAGGACTGTGATGTTCTGGGACAAAGGTCCTGGGAACCCAGTATGAGTTGGTGGGATTATAAACTATTAAAAATACCAGCTTCATTTATATTAAAACACTAGTGGACCAACAAAAAAATGGAAATGGTTTTTCCTTCAGCAACGTGAGCATTGAAAATATAATTCAGGCATATAGGGCCTAATAGTACTGCTCTGCAGTAGATTACATTTGAAATTTATTTTTTGAAATTTCGCTGATTACCCTTTTAAATTCTGGGAAATATACTGGAGATAAAAAAAAGAAAAAAGAAAAACTCAGAAGAAAAACTGTAGATGGTTCATAAAGATGAAAAGAAATAAACTATTTAACGATAATGAAATTATTAAATAACAATACATGGGGTGGTTTTAGACTGACGAGACATACTTTTCACATCTATTTGTATTTCTGTTTTACCTGGAAATGTATGTTTCCACTTTAACTTTTCGTCACAGCTGCTGGGAGTTCAGAACCATCAGGATAAATGAAGTCCAGAGCAGCTTCCTGAATTCCTGCAGACAGTAAATGCATCATCAGCTGACCAAACAAACTGAGCTTGATAAGAGGAAATCTGGTCAAAGAAATACATTTAAGAGAAATCCTTCTACAAAACTAAAAGTGTCTCTTACTCAGTGTTACTCTAACTCTTTTGTAGCTTTTTCTAACTTTAATATTGATTCTTCATGTTCATAGTCTGCCCCCTGCTGGCGGACTCGTAAAAGTCTCTTGAAATCTCCAAATCTAAATTGTTTTATTTAACAGCCAACTGTGAGATATTACAATAGTAAGGAGTGGTTCTAAAAAATGTAAACACATTCTTCCCGCGATGAATGCTGGATTTATATTGCTGCCTCTCAAAGACGCTTCTTCGGCTTGTTTCTATACACAAAACTCAAACTGTTGAGCTGTTTGTTTAGTGATTGCTTCAGCATTTCCCTCGGTGAACAGATGTCCTTCTCTTACAGTCTGCAGGGGTCTGTTCTGGGATAAAACCACTTAGAGACAAAACTCAAGCCTTTTGTTAAGAGGAAATGCTTCTAAAATTAAAACTGTCAGATGGTTTGAAAATTGTTTCAAAACAAAATGTTTCTTCCTCTGTGGTGTTGGGTACCCAGTGAGAATAATTCATTCCTGAGACAAGAATGCTGTTGATTCAACTCAGAAGGACCAGAAACCACAGCACATTGCTTTTATTCAGGGTTACTTATATGTAAAATGGGAACAGCAACAGGGGATATACACACCATGATGTCCGGGGCTGGTTTAAAAAAAAAAATAAATTTTCATTTCTTTTATCCTCCATGTTTTCTTTATTCCTAACCCTTCATGTCAAACTGTAGTCTCATCCTGAACCCACTGGACTGTATTTGTTTGGCCAATCCAGAGGAGTGTTATTTATTGATGCTGGCTGGGATCGGATCTGAGCTCACAGAAAGCAGATGGCCTCCCAGTGTTAACAGAAGCCACCTGCATGCAGCTGCTGAATCGGCATTTTTATGAACATCAGACAGAGCATAGCTTTGATCCACATTATCTGCTGCTGAATCTGGATTAGAAAAATATGAACACTGGAAAGAGGAGACACTTAGAGCTGCCTGGAGTCTGAGGTTTGAACCTGAGTCCTCAGAGTTCAGATGAAGATCAACTTGCATGAATACCAACTTTAAATGACGTTTACACGTTTTAAAAAAAAACTGCATGAGGAGGTTTGCAAAGGTGCAATGATATATTTCAGGAAGAAAGTTCTGGGTTAGAATCCCTTCTGGATGAAATTAGTTAATTCTCCATGTGCACATGAGATTCTGAGTTTGAAATAGATTACTTCTAATCTAGAAAGAGGTTGAAATTATACAAACTGTGTTGTGGAAAGGTATCTGTGCCATTTTCTTCCTCCTATGATCAGACATAAATGTGTCCAAATAGAAATGTAAACTAAGTAAATTTAAAAGTACAACTTCATTTTATTTATTAAGAAAAAAGCCATCAAAAATAACCAGATTTTTAAGTGAAAGAGAAAAACTCTCCATAAACCAAAACTTTTTCTATAGTGGAAAGAGGCTTTACATCAGTGTGGGTTCATTTTGTTCATTCCTTTAAAAAATATTTAAAATCAGCCACATTGAAGGGTTTTTTACTTTAAATGGCCTGATTAAATTTGGATAATGTATTTAATTCAGTTTTAAATTTGTGCTTTAACTAGGCCATTCCAGATGCTTCATTTTCTTCATTTGAGCCAGTCAGAAGTGGACATGCTAGTGGGGTTATATAATGGTTCTGGTGCACAACTTCTATGTGCTCTAGCTCAGTGGTTCCCAACGTTGCTCAGGTGTGTTTCTGCTTGCCCAAACCTACATCATTAGATTGCTGTACCCTCGTAGCAGCCTTCAAAGCCTAATGACACCTGTTGATCTTACAATTATTTAAATCAGGTGTTGGGAAGCAGGAAAACGTCTAAAAAAAAAAAAAGGCTGGACAGCGGGTCCTAAGGAGCAGGGATGGAACCACCGCTCTAACTTATGGTCACAGACCGATTCCTCAAGATTATCCTTCAGGATATTTCTGGTAGTAGAACAATTTTTTTAAGACAGATTTCCAGGTCCTTAAGCATCAAGCTCCACACCATCACACTACCACTACCATGTCTGACTCGTGTCTGATATGTGTTTGTTGACCTGAAAACAGTAAACTTGGACTAAGAAGGAAAAGGAAAAATTTGAGATGAAAAATATATGTTTTTTAGCCAACTTTTTTAGCCCAGAATGATCTATTGCTCTTACCAGAGAAACAGGAAAAGAGGCGCCGTTATCAATACTGTCCTTGCTGCTCTCCGTGGGATCCCACTTACTGCTTACTGTGCTGACATTCACTTCTTCTTCTTCATTCTCTTCGTCCTCTGTCCCCGTCACCTTACCGAAAAACCTTTCCAGGTCTTCAATGCTGGAGTTACCTGAAAAGAGAAAGTCCATGAGCAGGGATTTTATTCAGCTGTCATTTGTGGTCCAAAAACAACCATTTGAAACCATTTTTTTTACAGCGGTGAGACTCACTAAAGAAGCTGACTTGAATGGTGGAGTTGTAATCAAAATCATCCTCTGGAGTTGGCGTGACGTCGCTGTAGTACTGAGCCTCACAAACTGAAAAACAGAAACAGAAAAAAAACAGCACCCTTAAAACACAGTGCTGCATCCCTCAGGCTGCTTCAGCTGGAGGAGCTGATTAAAAGTTTCTTCAAATTTCTTTTTCACACAGAGTCATTTATAAAAAAAAAACATACACATACACCCCCATCCATCTATTTTACTTACAGGAGGAACAGGGAAATCTAAATAATATTATGCAGTAATCAGGTCTTAACTTCAGCAAAGGTAAAAAATGTATTTCCAAATAACCAAACAAATATAATTGTACTGTCAACAAGGATTCCCAAATACCAGCTTGCTAAAAATATGAACATAGCAGCTGCCAAACTAAATATTCTCAGGTTTGGTTTCATGTCTGTGAGTAATTTTTTCTCATCATTGTCCATCATTTTCAGTCCCGGTTCATATTTTCTTTGTTGATCAGTCTGCTGTCAAATTCTGGAAAGAGGTCTGAACAGAGCAGCCATGTGCACATAGAGACATACATAAGAACATTAAATAAACTATTTAAAAGAACATTTAACTTGTTTCTCCAGCAGCTTTATTTTACCCTCCCTGGGATGTTGACTCTGAGGTCAAGAGGTGATAAAAGTATTAATGCTTTATTACTAAAGTAGAAGTATAATCCTACTATTTAAAAACACTTTTGTACTGTAGAAGTGAGAGCATCAACTTGAGCCTTTTACTCAAGTAAAAGTGTAAAAGAATCATTTTTAAAACTACCTAGATTATAAAAGTAAAAGTAATGCAGAAGAAAATGCGAAGGACAGAAGCTTTACTGCAGTAGCCTGTTAAAGAACAATTTTTCTACAATTTTGGATGATAAATTCCTTTTACTTTATTTTCTTAAATTTATGACTAAGGCCAACAGCTGCAATTTTAATTTTTCATCATCTTGAAAAAATATTTGTTTTGGTACGTGGCAAACTAGGAATTCCAGATTAAAAAAAATGTCTGAATGAAACTAAATATTTTGATGTTTTTTTTATACCAACAGGCCAATCCAAAAATGAGCTTAAATGAAACAACAATAACGTGTCTATTTTTAAAATGTAAGGAGTAGAAAGTAGAGATAATTGCAAAAAGTTGTCTGAAAAATAATTACTCCAGTAAAGTAATTCTTGCCTAAATCTATACTTAAGGTAACGAAGTATTTGTACTTTTTTACTTGAAACCTCTGTCTGTTGTCTCACCCCACCGGGAGGAGACAGTGGGGTGAGACAACAGACAGGTCTTCAACAGGGGGTCCGCTACCCCTGGGGGGTCCACAGAGGTACTGCATGGGGGTCGCGAAAGTTTTGGCTGATCAGACTTTTTTTTTTATATATTCCCCCCTGCAATTTTTTCCACCAATTAAAATGTCTTTAAATACACATTAACATGAATTCAACAGACTGTAGTAAACAGATAAATGGAAGCAGAAGATGTCTTTCAGTCATCAAGGCACACATTCAACGACACACAGGAGCTCTTTCAAGCTGGGCACCATTTCATTCACAACACCTGTCCCATCAACCAGGAATCAGAATTAGAAATACTTTAATAATCCCAGGGAGAAATTACTTTCATTACATTACTCCATCTGTAATAGAGTGACTATAGTACCAGTTTGTTTTAGCACAATTTCATACAATATACATAATTAGGGGGTCCCTGCTCCATCTCGCCATCAGTTTGGGGGTCCTTGGCCTGGAAAGACCCCTGCATTAAGGGTATAGTGGAGGATTTTTCAAAAGAACCACCCTCTTCACTTTAAAAAAAGAAAAATGCATATGCACAACCCTGTACCCGCTCCCAAGAAGGAACGCCTATTTAACACGTGCAAGAGCGTGCACAAACCCATTTCCCCTCCTTTTCCATTTTTAAAAGTTGCTGTTTGAATCGTTCATATAAGCTCACTTTCTGAAAGAAGATTTGCAATTTTTCCACTATGTCCCACTCACCACTGGTAAGTGAAAATGGGGACAAGCACTTAAGACAACCTTACGTAAACATATCACCAGAATGATTGACAATTCGGAGGACCACTTATTTTGATGACCCATCCAGAAAAAAGAACATCCTCCACTATACCTTTAAGGAGTCATCCTGTCCACATCACAAAACCTTTTCCTGCAGAGGATCAGTGGTTCTGCTCTGATATGTGATCTGGATCCTATCAAAAATACATTATTTCTTGTGTTTTGGCCATGAACCAAATCTTATGAACACTACCAAATGTAACCTCAGAGCCTTTTTCTCTTGTCTGACACAGATTGCTGATAAGCTAATTTATAGCTTAAAAACTGCCCTTATTTAAAAAAGGACACAACATTGGTTCTACCTACAAATGTAGGTACAGGTCGCTTTTTAAGCTTTTATTTCATTTCTTCTAGGGTTCATATGTTAATACTTAATGTCTTCACAAAGGAGGCCAAAGTGAAATTATTTGCTTATGCACACAAACCTGGCCAATAAATCTGATTCCTATAAAAGTAACGACATTGTTACTGCTAATTATTGTCCCCCAAAGGGAAATTCACTCTCTGCATTTGAACCCATTGCCTTGAGGAGCAGTTGGCTGCCATTGCATTGGGGGACCCAGAGCGGAGGCGGTGGGGATCAAACTGGGTACTTGCCACCTTCTCAGTGCGACCCCAAGTGCACTGCTCTAAACACAAGGCCAACACTCTAAATTGGTACCTATACTTTTACATACATGTAATGTTTAGAGAATACCATGACATTTGAGCCTCTCTGGGTTCATGCCCAGTTTGTCTGTTACATTAAAAACATACGGAGGAAAAAAAGAGAAGACGACGTGAACTTTCCCTGTTGAGGGTAAAGTACTTGTGCAAACTTTTGTGGTTAAACTTCTACCATCAGGGAGCATTCATTAACATTTACCCCCATTTTATTTTTATTGTTTTACGTTCTCCTACATTTGCCTGTATGAGTGTTACTTTCCAGAAGCCTGCAGGACAATCTGCTGGGAGTTTTTGCAAGGATTGTCTGGCTTTACATCAACTCTGTGTATGTTTTCACTTTGTTGTAAAAAAGAGTTAGTGCTGCCGTCTGTGGGAGATGGTGAAAATCCAGCTGCTCCAAAATAGGACACAGGAAAACCGACAAACCATTAGTTTAAACAGCACCAATCAACAGATGATACCACCATCCCTGCTTTCCATTGAGCAACTTAGATTAAAACTCCTTCCAGTCATTTGTTTTAACTTCAGCTGAGGCTGAAATAAATTGGATTTCTGTTGTCCAGAGATTTTCCAGTGATTTTCCAAAGAGATGAATGCGTGCAGATGCATACCTTACATCAAATGTAAGGAGACAACCAGCTGCAAGGTAAGTGAAATTCTGGACCCTTTTCAACTTAAATGCATTCTGGTATACAGAGAGCAGATATACAGCTGAAAGGCGATACTATATACAATATCTGCTTCTCACTGACATTAAATCAGGCTAAGCTACTGCTCTTGTAACACAGTTATGGCTACCAAACATTTATTTATATTTTAAATGCCTGAATGAAAGTTTTTTTTTTTATTATTCTTAAAAATGTAGATGTCGACACACATTACTTTATGTCTCAGATGATTACCTCTTAGTTTTTATAAGCTGCTATATCTCACACCTCAAACGCAGCGCTGTGTTTTGAGATACCTGAATGTGTCGTGAAAATGCTGTTCAAAAGAGAATAAAAAGTTTAACTGAGGAGGTGAGCAATTAGAGAGCAATCATTAATTAGAGAAGGAGCCAAGAGGCCACAACGACTGCAGAAACCCACAGCTCAGGAGGGCAAATCCAAGCTTATGTGGAAGAGTGTGAAGAAGGAGTTTGTTGCTAAAAGAAAGCCAAGATCAATATTGCCACCAGCGAAATAAGGAACACCAGAAATACGAAGATGTAAGCACTTTGTTTAAATATGATTGAAATTAAGCTTATTCAACTACAATGAAAAATACTAACACTGCACATAGTTTTGAACACAGCCTGGACTTGATTAAACACGGTGGTGTGAGCATTATGCTGTGGGGATTTATTTCCTGAAGGGAGGGAGAAGCAGGTCAGAGATGATAGTAAGATCAACTCTGATCATTAATAAACAGCAACCCTGGAAGAAAGCATGTTAGGGGAGAGAATAGGACAGGAAAGAGGTTGCAGATGTTCATCAAAAATCCCTGTAAAACGTAACAAGGCTGATGTATACAAGCTGCATCGGACTCCTAACTTAAAGCCTGTTTCCTCCCACTGCTGACAGATCAGAGCTCATAAGATGAACAGTAGGTGGAGCCAATTCTCCAGTCAAAATAGATTGAGGCAGGTGGTGAAAAGAGGAATCTTCCATCAACAGAGATGTTTTAGGAGAGGACACACAGAGCAAAACTGATGAGAAAACCCTTCAGTTACAGTCTGATGGGAAATCTTCTCCCTCAGGACCCTCCTCATCCTCCCTCATATCCATCAGCTGCACTGGTCCGGACCCTCACAGAGCTTCCTGGGAAAATGTTCCTGCTCTTTGTTTGAGCTTTACATCATATTTCTAGTTTATCAAACCAGCGTTGGTCACTGATAGGGCCTCAGAGAGGCACTTAAAGTGGTCCTCCTCCAGAGAAGGACGATTTATTTGGCTTTTATCAGGATTTTACTGTCGACTAATATGAACAAATAAGACACGTGTTTTATTTGGCTCTTGTAAATTAAAGAACTCACTATGAATGTAGAAAAACTTGAAAACTTAAGTTTATCTAATGTCGCAGCGAATGTGGAAACTTTTACACAAGTCTAATTTATTGCAATAGTTTTAAGGGATAATTCAGAGGGCTTGGTGTCTTAGTGAGTAGCTTGAATTAGGGGAAGATTAACTTTATATTTAAAGACATATAAAATATATTTTTAACATCCTAAGGTGCAGATGTTATGATATATTTAACATCCATCATGTTCAGTGTTTGTTAGAACACAGTTTCCTTTGACCCTTCAGCTACTTTCACTGTCTGACTGAA